GTTTCATGGACTGCAGTCCAGCCTGAGCTAGCCCACTAAGATAGGGGACAGGCCAGGGTTGCTGCACCTGACAAAAGGGGTTCCTTTTTCTCATTCACACAAAGGGCTGCTCTCTCCAAGCTATGCTTCTTGAGGGCTGCATTTGTACCTTGCACAAGAGCCTGTATGGGCCCTCACCAACCCTGTCTCTGCTCTCACAGAGAGGTGGATGGGGAGCCCTGGGTGCTGGAGTTGCTTCTGGACCCCACGCCTGGTGTCCTGCCCTTTGCCTAGATTCTAACTTCCGGCCTGGATTTCTGAGCCTTCTCCCCCTCCAGGCTTAGAGGCTCTGCCACAGCGCCACCTTGTCTGGCCACTGACTTTTGACCCAAGGCCAGTCTGACTTTACTGCATGGCTTTGCCCCCATTATTAAAGCCAGCGAGGCTTCCTCCATCCTCTCCCTGTCTAAAACAATGTTGCTTACTTACTGTCTTCCTGATTCCCTCCACTAGAAGGTGAGCTCCTGCTCTGGTATGTTCATTCATGTATCCGTAATGCTGAGGACACCACTGGCCCAGGCTGGATGTTCCCTGACCATGCACTGATCGTGGTGAGCCCATTGCTTTTGGATGGCAGAGGAGCTGCCCACCTACCTCCAATTTGCCTTTGGCCACGGGGCTGTCACCAGATTCCATTCTAAGATGTGATGTCCTGGCTTTTAGGAGGAAAGAATTTACTGGGAGAGTGGTGACTCCCCTGCCCTCCCAAGCTGTAAGTGTGGAGGTAGTGCTAGCAACTGGGGTCTGGTTGCATCCTTTGTCTCTGCCATGCCCTTAGCTGTGGTCTGGTCTCTGCATCTTTCTTCTCTGCATCTCAGCCCCTGGTCCCTAGCCCCCATCCCCATGCCTGGCACAGAGGAAGCTCTGGGTAACTGTGTACTGAGTCCCAGTGTCAGCCCCAATGGAGAGTTCAACAAGCCGAGGCCATACAAAGTGCTGTGCTGAAGGGAGTTAAAGCCTTGCCTGTCACTTACTGCATCCCCAGCTTTGATGGCCAAAGATGTGGCCCAAGTGTATAAAGTGACACTTGTTTCACCTCCTCCAGGTGTTCCTTGGAGAAAGAATTTCCTTTCATGCCATGCTCTAGAATCTTTAACTCAACCTTTGCTTTCTGCCTCCTGTTTAGGGAGAATTCTCCCCATACCTGGGCATTATTCACTTATTTCTATGTAGTTATTCCTCGGTCTGCTGCTGACAGTATTTCCATGTCCTTGGACTCTGGGTGGGTTGACTCTTTTAAGTAGTTCTCAGTAACTATATAGAGAGGCTCTGAGCTATCTCCACAGGGAAGAGGCCAGGCAGTGACTCCTGCTTTGTGGGCCAGTCCTTGTACCATTTAGGTAGCACCTTGTGCTCACATACTGGCCCTGCTTTGCATGCTGGGGACTGGGCAGTTCATCAGAAAGATAGGGAAGACTCCCTGCACCCTGGAGATGTGCATGGGCTATGTAGCTCCTGCAGACAGAGGACAAGGGTATTGTGCAACAGACATTCATGAAATGCCACCTGCTATGTGGTGACTTCACAGCCGGTGAGAGCTCAGAGGAGGGCAAGCCCAATAATCAGTGGGGCTCAATCTCACACCTGCCCGGGAGTAAATCCAAGATGCATACATGAGCAAACACTACTTTTATGGATCAACACACAGTTAACTGCAGTGCTCTCAAACCTGAAAATGTTTTCACTGGGGTTGTTAATCAAAACCTACATCGTGGTAGCTCTGGAATTTTAGAGAATTTTATGGTTTTGGTTCTGTTTTTTTTGTGAATAGCATAGGCAACCAATGAAGGGATTTTGTGATTGAGGACGACATTTAGCCAACTTTGGTGGAACCACTGTCTTTAATTTGATTTGATGATCATTGTAGGCAGTTCTCTATTCAACATGTCTGAGCACAGTGTGTCATCCACAGCAGAGAGTTGAGGCCAAGCTCTTTCCACATGACAATAACACTACTTCATGTTCTTGCCTTAGTCCCCTGCCCACACCCATCCCTACCTCTTCAAATTGTGTGTTTTAACTGCTTCTTAGAAGGGAGCGAGTGTTCATTTTGTGGGAATGTTCCATCTGTGCTTGATTTGAGCACCTGTACACCCTTGGAGAGTGCATTTCAACTCTGGGGAACGAATGCCTGGGAAAAGTTCTTGCCCTTTCCTAAGCTGTTTTTTTTTAGGGCACTATATTAATCAGATCTTGTCACCGTCCCTCTTAAATCCTCTGTGGCTTCCCATCCTACACACATCCTGTGCTCTTTTGAAGCATGCTTTGCATTTCCTTCATGGGACTTATAACAATAACTTTTAACCACCTTGTTTATTTCTTATATGTATGTTGCTAGTCTCACCCACTAGATAGAGAGTTAGTAAACTACATTCTGTAGGCCCAGTGGGGCCCGCCGACTGTTTTTGTAAATAAAGTTTTATTGGACCACAGCCACAGTCGTTCATGACCACCACCTATGGCTGCTTTCATGCTGCGTTGGCAGTTAAGTAGTTATAGAGAAGCCTACAGAGTTCTGCAAAGCTGGAAATATTTGCTGTTTGGCCCTTTACAGAAAAAGTTTGCTAATCACTGCTCTAGAGCATAAAGTCCATGCCAGCAGGGACCTTATTTTGTCCTATTTATTTACTACTGCATTACCAGGACCTGTGTGTCTGCCTAACACAGCAGCTGTTCAGTAAGAGTAAACAGGGAGGGAGGGAAGGAGGGAAGAAGACCTGGAGGCCTATAGTTTTTCTACAGTGTTCTTGCTTCTACACATCATCTTGGCTTGGCAACTTACTACCGGCTCCATGAACTGTGTGACTTGTAGAAGCAGAATCATACCCTTGGCTTTGAGATCAGAGCTCCATAAATGGAGTAGCCAGGTTATAGAAATGCTTTCCATTCACATCATCCTAGGGTATAGCCCAGTGTCTAAGTTAAAGGATAAGGCACCAGAACTCCTGAGTTTCTTTCTAGTCTTTGGCAACTCATGGGCAGAATTCTAAAAATGACCCTGTCGTGACCCTCACCCTTGTACAACCCCCTCTCTTCTCAGTGTGGGGTGCACCTGTAACTATGGTAAGATGTCACTGCCATGATTATGTTACCTTATATGGGAAAGGGGCAGGTTATCCGAGTGGGTCTGATGTTATCATGTGAGCCATTTATTTATTTATTTATTTATTTATTTATTTATTTATTTATTTATTTATTTATTTATTTATACTTCATATTATGGGAGTACAAATATTGTTAGGGTTACATATCTTGCCCCTGCCACCCCTCCCCCACCCCACTATGCCAGAGCTTCTAGCATATCCATCCTCCAGGTGGTGCTCACTGCACCCACCGTGTAAGTACATATCCTTCCCCACCTCCCCCCTTCCACCTGCCCACTTCCTGATTACAGATTTTTTTTCAGACATTTTGGTTACAATATATATCTTTATCTCTCCCTAAAAAGGGATAGAGGTAATCCCTTTCCCCCCACAATGCTCGCCACTTCCTTAAGATGTGGGTCTCCCCCCCAAATCCCTGTTGAACACTACCATTTTTTGAGCACCGTAGTTTTAGTCAATCAGTACCAATTTGATGGCAAGTAGATGTGTAGCCCCTTTCCCAAATCGTATGTCATCTTGCTTTGTATTACGGGCTTAAGCTTAATCCAGGATAGCATAAATGGTGCTAGCTCACTGTCGTTTCTTAGGATTGAGTAATATTCCATTATGAGCATATACCACATTTTAGTTATCCACTCATGAATTGACGGGCACTTGGGTAGTTTCCATGACTGTGCAATAGTGAATTGTGCTGCTACAAACATTCGGGTGCAGATGTTTTTATAATAGAGAGACTTATATTCTTTTGGGTAGATGCCTAACAGTGCTATTGCTGGGTCGAATGGTATTTCTATTTCTAGCTATTTGAGGTATCTCCAAATTCTTCTCCGCAAAGGTTGCACTATTTTGGAGTCCCACCAGCAGTGTAAGAGTGTTCCTGTCTCTTCGCATCCTTGCCAGCATTTGTTGTTTTGGGATTTCTTAATACAGGCCATTCTCACTGGGGTTAGGTACGTGAGCCTTTTAAAAGCAAAGCGTTTTCTTGGCTAGAAGCATAAGAAGTTGGAGAGGCTGGAGGTGAGAGAGACCTGGCTAGAGGTGAGAGAGACCAGCAACCACCTGTTGCTGATTTGAAGGTGAAAGAGGCCATGTGAAAAGAAATGAGAGGGGCTTTAGGAGGCGTGAGTGCCTGAATGACAGCCAGCAAGGAGACAGGGACCTCAGTCCTAAAACCACAAGCAACTGAACCCTGCCAACACGCTGAATGAGCCTGGAAGCAGATTCTCCCCCAAGCCTAGTCCAACTAATGCCTTGATGTTGGCCTTAAGAGACCCTGAAGGAGGGAACCCCTCCCAGCCCACCTGACTTCTGACCTACAGAACCAAGGAATAGTAAATGTGCATTGCTGCTTTAAGCTGCTAAGAGTATGGCAATTTATTACATAACAATGGAAAATCAATATACCATGAAACCCTGAGTAACATCCTATGGGGAAAGAGAAGTCTGCCACTCCTGCAACAGAAACGTCTGAAGAACTTCCCTCTGGGAGCAGCCGTTGCCTCTTATTAGTTATAGGACCATACACAAATGGCCTCCCTGAGCCTTGGTTTCCTCATCTGTAAAAAGGGAGGATAATAACAATAGCTACCTCAGTCCAACTGTCATGAGCACAAAATGAGATTATGTGTGCAAAGTGGTCTGTGCAGTGCTGGGCACAACAGGTCCTCAATAAAGGAGAGTTCCTTTGCTTTCTTGATGTGCACCCCTCTAAAATCTTACTCTTCATCAAATATATATATGTATATGTGTGTGTGTGTGTATTTATATTGTTCAGGTAATTTATTTCTATTTTTTTTAGTAGAGACAGCATCTTGCTCTTGCTCAGGCTGGTCTCTAACTCCTGAACTCAAATGATCCTTTCACCTCAGTCTCCCAGAGTGCTAGGATTACAGGTGTGAGCCACCACACCCAGCCTTACTCTTCATCTTTACAATGTAGATTTGTCTCAGGGAGTCGCTGCTTCCCTCCTGCTCACCCCTTCCTCAGTAATGGGGATCCCTGTGCTATTTTAGGAATGGCCAAGTCATATGGCACTCATTTCTCAACTCTTCCTCTGGCATAAAAGCAAGCAATATAATCACTGTCTTTCGGGGAGTAGGGGCTGGCAGAGAACAGAAATGTTCAGTGGCAAATACCCTGTCAACCCTGTGACATGCAGCTAAAGGGTGTTTGGGAGGGAAAAGCCAACATGGTGCCACATACTCAGCTGAGCTTTTCAAATTCTGTCTTTACACAGATAGTGACATATAAAGTACTTCCCTTGCAAAATGCAGGTGCACAGTTAGCCAGGGCTCTGAGGTCCCATAAAGGAGGATGATTATAGATGTCATTTATTTAGTGTTTCCCATGTGCTTGGCATTCCTGTAAGACCTTCTGTGTTGAAGGTGATTATCCTGTTTTATAGATAAGGGAACTGATGCTTAGAGAGGTTGAGTCACTTTCCCCAAATTGCACAGCATAGTAATGAAAGGTCTGGATGAGGACTGGTAGTTGGCTGCAGGACCTGAGCTCATTCCTCACCGTGGTGCTGGGGGATCTGAGCTCTGGCGCCAGCCTGCCCCCATGACCTTGGGAAGCCCTCAAGCCTTCCTGAACCCCAGTTTCTTGTCCTGTTACATGAGGATTTGCATGAAGACTCAATGGAATCTTTCATGAAAAGGGCTTTGCATGGTGGAGCTCTTAAACAAAGCAGTGGAACAAAGAAGCCAGTGGGGCACCTATTGGCCAGGGACCTGTGTGTGGCCTTCTGGATTTGAGGGCTGTTTGCCCAGAATCTGTCCCCTTTGGTGGAGACCATGAACCAGCAGTGAGTGTCCAGGGGAGGGCACTCTTCTTTCACGGCTCAGTGAGTCCTCTGAGGCCTCGTGGTGCAGGGACGAAGGGCTTTGAGAACAGTCATCCCCTAGGTGTGTTCAGCCTCAGAAATGCTGAGCCCCAGGCTGACCATGGCTGTGGCAGAGCCGTGCGGGCAGCAACCCTGGCCCTGGATCGATTGGGTGCCTGGTCCCTCAGGCCATGGCAGCAGACAGCCCAGTCATGTCCAGGCCATGTGGACAGCACATGGGAGTGACTCAATTTATCATGTTTCAGCTGCTTGGGGTTGGGGGTGTTGGAGTGCTCAGTCCACTTCTGGAGTGGAACTTGGATCCACCCCATGGCTCTCTTTTAACTCTGGGGGAGCAGGAGGTGGCCCGGGCCATTTCCAGGATTGAGAAGGAAGTGGTTTAGGTAACTCTCTCCTCTCCAGCCCCTCATTCCAGGAATCCAGATTGTGTGCCCACCCCCAACCCCCTGCCTCCTACTGTCCACAGTCATATCTGAGCCAACAGCCCTCTGTATGTGCTGCCACCTAAGGCCTTTCCTTCTTTCTTGCTGTCCCTTTGCTTTCTGCCATTGCCATTAATGAGGATAATGATTTGATAGATTTCTCTTTTCAGATATCAAGCTGGAAAACTGATTACATGGAAACTTTTAACACCCTGATCCCTGAAAGTGATGACTCAGTGTCAGTTTAGACCCAGTGTCAGCATATTTTTTAATCTAACATTTATTGAGAGCTTACTGTGTATTAGGAAACACTGGGCACTTTCTAACTCTGTCCTCACAATGATTCCATGGGTTCAGTGCCATTATGTTCTGTAGATGACAGAACTATGAGCCAGAGAGGATAAATCAGTTTACTTAATGCTCAGAGACACTAAGTCTCTGATCCAGGTTTGTTGTCTTCAAACCCCACGCGCCCTTAGCTGCCATTCCTGTACTGGCCCCGTTGGTGCCTATCTTAGCCAGCTCAGGCTGCCATAACAAAGTACCACAGACTGGGTGCCTTAAACCACAGTCACTTATTTAGAGGCTGGAAGTCCCAGACCAAGTTGCCTACAGATTCAGTTTCTGCTGAGGGCTCTCTTCCTGACTTGTAGTGGCCATGTTGTCTCACATGGCAAATAGACAACAATGTCTCTTGCTTGGTTAGTGCTTCAAATAATGAATTTGGAAGAGGTCCAATTCAGTCCATAGCAATGTGATGGTGTGGAAAAGGCTCAGCAGGTCTCAGATCAGGGGCTGGGAGATGAAGAGGAAAGATGAGCCCCTCCTTCAGACAGACATAACCCAGGTCTGAATCCCAGCTTTACAGTTAGTAACAGGTGACCCTAGCCAAGTCACTTAGCCTCTCTGATAATCTATATCTTCTACTAGCAAGCAAGTCTGGAGATGATGATGGCACATACCTCACGTTGTAAGGGGTTCTCATTGCATATAAATCACTGGCCACTGCCTAGTCTATGATGAGGAATCAAATGTTAGCTAATGAGCACCCAAGATGGGAGGGTCCAGTCTGGTCCTGCTGGTCAAGTGATAGTAATAATTTGTCACTGGTGTGCACTGTGTCCTGTTTGCAAAAAGGTTTCCCACACAGGTGGAGTTGCACTGCTTGCTCTTCTGCTCACTTTAGAACCCAACTCCACAGGCCGAGGGACATGTGACCAGGGCATGCACAGCACAGCTATATCATGGGGTCACCATGGAAAAACCCAGCTTGTGGGGACAGCTGGCAGATAGCCACATTCTCCTCTACAGATTCCCAAGGAATAGTGAAAATGCAAGATTTAGGTCCAAATCTAACGAGTATTCCTAACTACAAAGTGCTGGATTATTCACTGTGCTAGATACCTTTTTACACATAAAATGTTACTTAATCCTTACAGCATGAAACAAATCTATCAGCAGGGGCTAAAGTACCAGTGGTTTTTGGAACAAAATAGATGAAACTCTACCATCAAGAGGGAATATGTTACTCATTCTCCCCTGTGCCCGTTTTACCACCAGGGATTTGATGGTGACCTTTAGGTAGGACAGTTTAAAGGCCAGCCTGCAGTCTGCAGTCTTCCACTTCACTCTTTTCTTTGTCTTCCTCAGTGAGCGTCCAACTCTGGAGTACATGAAATTTGAAGCACAGGCCTAAAGACACAAAACTCCAAGCCAGGGCTCTGTATGGGCAACATAAATAATTTACCAGGGTAATTTTGCCTTCCATGCTGATGACAGATGCTGACCCTTTCTTAGATACAGAACATCCATGAGAATATTTGGCCGGAAGGACATCTCAGAATTCACCTGCTTGAATTCTCCCATTTTACAGATGGGAAGACTGGGTGCCAGAGGGATTAGATGGATCCCAGTGGATTGCAACAATAATTAGGGACTGAGCTGAGAATGTTTTCATGGAATGGGATTATTTGTCTGCTAATCAAACATCTGACCTGTAATTTGACTCAAAACTGCCAAGGTTTTTGAAAGAATGTGACAGATTGGTTTCCTGGCTCCCTCAGCAAGTTGATGGGAAAACAGTTGGTTTCAGATTTGCCCAGATAACCAGAGAGGTACCCACGGCTGGGTTGTCCTAGCCAGTCTGTCGTTGTCAAAACCTCTTGCTAAAGCCAGGATTCTTCATCTTTTCCAGAGATGAACATTAGACGAGTTACCAATGAAAAACATTCAGCTTTAACTCCCTTTTTAAAAAAATTTCTTCTTTCCTGCAGGCTATTTTTGGGTTTTTGTGATGACAAGGCAGTACAGCCCCATTTGTCTGTGAGGGAGCAAGCAGAGCCTTCCTCACTGTATAGGTACAGGGCATTTCCTCCCTGTCCTCAGCCTTTTATCAAGAATCACAAGCTCAGTGCAGAAGCGATGGGCAGATAAGAGATTTAAGTTGATTCTGTTAAGGGCAATTATTTTTCCTGCTTAGACAGTTAATTGTCGGATGCCAAAGAGTCAGCAAGGATTTGCAGCAGCTGCGGTGTGTATGTGTCATCACTTTGTCTTTAGGGCTACCGCAGCTGGAACAAATGTTAGAACTCCTATTGTGTTTAGAGGCCATTACCTTCAGGGGTGGGTCTTTTTCCATCCTTCACTTTGCTCATCTTAGACCACCATACACCTAGCCCTCTTTTTATTAGCCAGCAACAGACAAGGGCCAGAGCGATTTACTGATTGGATAGACTAACTCTTTCCCCAGTGAGAGTCCAGCGCGGTGTGGGACATGCTGAAAAGTGTGTCTGTAAATGTCTCAATTGCTGACACTCAAGGAAAATATTCCTCTTGGGAAGATATAAGGGACTCTCAGGCCAAATAACATTGCATACATCTGTCTCATGTCACAAGGCTTGGCGCTGTACTAAGCTGGTTACTGGTCCCTGGCTAGTAATAACAAGGACAATAATAGTTGTTAACATTTAGCAAGTCTTTGCCATGTAACAGGTACCATTCTAAGGGCTTTATGATCCAGTTTAATCTTCACAGTAGCCCTGTTTAGTGGAATAAAGCAGGTTGCCCATTTCAGAGATGAGGAAACTAAAGCACAGGTGGGGTAGGTAAGAGTCACAAGACTAGGATCATAAGGACAGCCTATTTGTCCTCATGTGTGTAGTTTCCTCACAAGGGTTTGGGTTTCAACTAACCTCAAGGTTAGGTTTAACATCAGTAGATGCTAGATGCCCACTTTCCTTCACTGAGCCCAGAGGTAACTTGGCTAAATATAGCTGACTCTGCATTCCTAAGGAACAGTGCTTTAGTGGATCGTGAAATGTAACAGAGGGAAGACTCTTTGGAGGGGATTGGCATTGTTCTCGGAACAGTGGGCATGTGCTGTTTCTGGCCTCTGGTACCCATGCTCCTTTCTGCTGCTAACCATGTCTTGTCTTGCTTTCTTTCACTCTCAGCCTGCGTACTCTGGGAGGTGCTCCATTCTGACTTAAGGAGCATTTGACCTATGTTTTAGCTAATCAGAGCATCATACTTCTGACAATAATGATTGAGTTAGGGTGGGTGTGAGAGCCAAAGAGGACAGAATAAGACACTCAAATGAGCATTCTGGCAAAGGAACTACTGCGCTCTCCTCCCAGGCCACAGTCTGGGAAGATGTCTGGTCTGGAGCTGTGGTAGCCACCTTGCCACCTTGAGGCAAGAGCTGACTAAGGATGGGACTCAACCCAGAGAAGGCAGAACCAAGAGAGGGACAGTGAGAAAACCTCATGTCAAGCTGGGCCCACCATGGATTGTGCCTCCCATTTGAGTTTGCTTAGCCATGTTTCTTCATAAAAAAATCTTAATTGATACAGTCTATCATACATGAATATAGTTTTATTAGCAGGTATTTAGACAATGATTAACCAGGGAAAGGTGTGCAAACCACCCCTAAGAAACCTTTTCTGTTGGTCAGCTACATCATAACTATGGTGAATGAAGCCCCATGTTCTACTTTAGGCTATACCAGCCTGGGGTGCAAGGAGCAATGATTCCACAGGCATCACTTCAACAGAAAAGGGGATTTCATTTTACAGGTGCAAAATGAGGCTCAGAGAGATTATGTAAAGTATCTACAACCGTACGGTTAGAAAATGGGAGAACCAGGACTGAGAGGCAGGCAATCTGGATCAAGAATCCAAGTTTTTAATCATTATGCCTAATAAACACTTTTTTAAAAAATTCAAGAATATTTATTGAGGACTTACTATAGGTCCATCATGGAATACATCCATGAACGAGATGCCCAAAGATCCCTTCCTCATGGTATAAGCACTCACGTGTATGTGTGTAAAGAGAAAAGATAGAAAACAAACAGCAAACATACTAAGTAGTATTAGAAGGTGATAAATTATCTGAAAAAGAAAAAATAAACAAGCTAAGGGAGATCAGGGTAAGAGATTCCAGTTACCAACAGAGCCATCAGAATGAGCCTCTTTGAGAAGAAGACTCGGAAGAGGTCAGGGAGTTCACTACAGGGTTATCTGAGCCAAGAACATTCCAGATGGAGGGAGCAGCCTGTGCAAAGGCCCAGAGGCAGAAGGGTGCCTGGTGTGTTCAAGGAAGAGCAGGGAGGACAGTGAGGTTGGAACCAAGTATGTAGAACATAGTAGAAAATGAGGGTAGAGAAGTAATTCCAGATCTCTGAAAAGACTGGTCCTTGTAGGATTTTGAGCAGACAAGAGACATGGTGTGGCCAGGGCTGTTGAAGGAAAAACTGTATATGGGGAGTGTAGGAGCTTCGAGGTTGATAAAGTCCTTAGCACTGACCCAGGTGAGAGGGGACGGGGGCCTGGACCAGGGTGCTAGCTGTGGAGGCAGTGAGAGGTGGTTGGACTCCAAATATGTTTTGAAGGAAGAAATAAAAGACTTTTTAATAATTTTAGGTGTGGAGCAGGATAAAGTGAGGCATCAAAGATAACTCTAAAACTTTGGAGCAAAACTTGAGTAACTCAGTGGAACCCAAATTCTTTGACTGTCACTTCTGCAGCCACGGAATCAATAACCTCTTCTGCCTGGGGCCACTTTCGGTTCTGTTTTATCCAGAAATGCCTCCTTGGTTGAGAGTGTTGCTTTTTGACAGAGAGTTTCTACGTGAATCATTCCATTTTATTCCTACTGCAATCTTGAGAGATTCTACTCCCATGTGAGGACTAGGGACACAGGCTCAAGGAAATAGTTGTTTACCTGACCCAGCTTACATAGGTGATAAGCTGATATGCTCTATTCTATCCTGTTACAATAGAAGAATATTCTGCTTTTATTAAGCCACAGAAGAAGCAATTGTCTCCTGGTTATAAAGTACCTAATTGCAGCCGCAAGATCATTTTCATCATCCCCCAGGTCTATAGCTTGTGAGCTGTGAGTGTCTAGACCTATGAAACAGATTATTCTTCTGGAGACTTCTCTGTAAATACACTCTTTCCATTTGCTGTAACTTTCTGCAATATCATGCCTGAAGATCTAAAATTTTTTGTCTTCACTTCTGCACACAAAAATGTATGTGTGTTATGTTCTACTTGATTGAAACACCTGCCTTGGTTTTTGCTGTTGGTTGGTTGTGGCTACTGCTGTATGACATACTTGTTTCTCCTTCTTTTGATTCAAATAACTTGATTAGCTCTCCTCTGGAAGTTGAACGTCTCCACTTCGAGAGTTTTATCAGTGAGACTTTATTTGACTGTGAAGCTGAGGTGTGGGTGGTCAGCAGAGAGAGTTTTAAAATCCAGAAAAGATATAAAAGGTACCTGGGAATGTATACCATAGATCAACCCAGCTGTTATTTGACTTCCCATCAATGTTATGATACCACTTACTTGGGTGACCAGAGTTTCCTCCTGTTAGAACAATTACACAATTGTGTTTTCATTGCCATTTTCCTGCAGAAGTTGAAGCTCCACTTTTTATCTGCTCTTTGAATGTATAAAGCAAAACACACACACAGAGAGGCATACTTGTTTTTTTTTTTTTTTTTGTTTTGTTTTTTGAGCTGCATTCATGCAGGGTTAAGGTCACAGATTTTTAACCAAGTCTAGCAATGTGGGTGCTGAGGCTTTGGAGAGGTGGTTGTCTCCAACAGCTGGCAGCCTTGTTGTCATGTTGCACCTTCAGCTCCATCATTCTCTTCCAGCCCGTCTGCGCCTCCCGTTTCCCTCAGGGAAATGAATGCCTCATCATAGAGATGAGAATCACTCTGAGCGGGTGTATATTCTAGTGAACTTTCAAGTGAGAATCCCAAATACACATACGAGAAGAGGAAATGAGAGAGACAAGGAGGGAAAAGTGAGGGAGGTTTCAGCTTCTCCTTAAGAAATAAATAGGCAATTCCAATAGAGTAAACCATTTCATGCCTGGGTGGTCGTAATCACCCGAGAGCAGGGCTGCAGCCTCGCTCTGAGTTCTCTCCTTTCTGGCCAATCTATTTCTTTCAGATTAATCTTCCAAATCACTTCTGTGCTGCCCTCCTTACTGAAAAGCCTCTAGTGGGCCCATGTTATCTATGGGCCAGACACACACTCCGGATCCTGGTGGTCAAGGACAGATGTAATGGGACTCCGCCCCGATCATCCGCACTGCTATCTCTCCATGTCACCAGCTCCCAGGTGGCCCAGGCTTCTTCCTCTATCTCTCAGGGACAAGACGTATGTGCTGGTCCCTTGGAGGCCCTCCCCACCCATCGAATCCAGGCCACGGTTAGGGCCCATCATCCTAGGATGACTCTATTCCCATTTCTAAGATGCACACTAACATATTTGCACACAATAGTCCAAGTATCACTTTGTTCTCATTTCATAAGCTGCCTTAGGCAAATGTTTTTGTAGTGAAATATCCCAATTTCAATGGTGGGTGTCATGCATTTTGCTTTGACTCACACTGTTTCCTTGGAGCCAGTCAGCTAATAGGGAAATGACCTTCTGGGGACTATGCAAAATATGGAATGCTTCACAAACTTGCGTGTCATCCTGGTGCTGGCGTCATGCTAACTTTCTGTGTATCATTCCAATTTTAGTCTGCGTGCTGCCACGGCGAGCACCTGCGATGACTTCCTCACCACTGCACCTTCTCTGTACACAGCGTGCTCTCTCGAGCTTCACTTGACCTGGCGCCTAAGCAAACAGCGTTTTATCTGGATCCAGTCTCATCTTCTTAGCTGCAGCCAGGGCTTGTTGAAGTCAGGGATACTGCTTTCAGCTTTATTTGTAATATCACGTCACTTACCACAATCTCAGGCACAGAAGAGATACTTGTGAAACCCTTGTATTGATTTAAACTTGCCAGAGGAAGAAGGAAAAACCTTTTTTTTATTGTTTAAGACCTCTGGAAACAGAGACCACAATATATGCACTGGGGTTCCTCTCTGTCCCCAAAGTCCCATTGGTAACCCCCAAGGGTGCTGCCACATTGAAACATTGCAGATGATGGTCAGCATGGACAGGGCCCCTAGGGACCACCCCCTTCTTGGAGAGTCACTCATTCATTCACTCTTCCATTCAACAAATGCTCACCAAGCACCTACTCGGTTCTCTGCATGCAGATATGGTTTGGAAAGAGACAAAATCCTGCTCTCATGGAGCTGGGTGTCAGTATGGTGTGTGTGTATGTTGCGGAGGAGAGAGAGGGAGAGAAGGAGACACAGCAAACAAGTAAGTGCCTAGATGAGGGGCTTCCCATTAAGACATGTCCCCAAGGGAAATTCAATAGGGATTGCCGTAACAAGTTGATGGAGTAATCGGGACGGTCGTGGTGAGACTTCAATAAATAGGATTGGATCACCCCTGGCACAAAAGTTGAGAGAGACTCCCAGGAAGAGAGAACAGCATGTGCCAAAGCTGTAAGGCAAGGTTTCTCAGTCTCAGCAGGTAAGACTATTGACCTTTGGGGCTGGATAAGCCTTTCATGTGGGGGCTGTCCTGTGCACTATAGGCCATTTGGCAGCTCCCCTGCTCTCTGCCCACTGGATGCCGGGGGCACTTCCCTGGCCCCTGCCATGGTTATTAGAAATGTCTTCTGGCATTGCCAAAACGTCTGACAATAGGGCATTTTGTGAGTTCAAATGGGGGCCCTGGAGAGATATGTCTGTGCCCTAACTAAACATTCACAGTGAACTGTGAAGGTGACCTTGATTGGAAAAAGTGTCTTTGCAAATGTAATTAAGGACCTCACAATGAAATCAGCCTGGATTGTCCAGGTGGGGCTCAAATCCAATGACAGTTGAGACAGAAGGGGGAACGCATATATGTAGAGGGAGGCCACATGAAGACAGACAGCAGGAATGGAGGGACGCAGCCATCAGGAGAGTTGGCAGCCACTGGGAGCCGGAAGAGGCAAGGAATGACTGTCCCCTGGAGCCTTTGGCAGGAGGGAGGCCCTGCTGGCACCTTGATTTTGGACTTCTGGCCTCCAGAACAGGGAGAGAGTAAATTTCTGTTATGCCACCAAGTTCAAGGTGATTTGTTACATCAGCCACAGGAAATGAATGCAGGGGACAAAATCACCCCTACTAAAAACCATTACCCTCACGTGAGAAAGATCAGGGAAGGTTTGTGGAGCAGCAGGAAGAAGCTATGGCTTTGGCCTTGGTGAGGCCAGAAGAGCGGGTGGGCCAGGTCCTACCTGGGAAGGAATTGAGAGTTGGTTGTAGGTGCTAGGGTGACAAGCACTGAAGGTTTCAGACAAGCCTGTGACATGATCTGGTTCATATATTTAGTAGATTTTTCCCACTACTGTGGTGGAGCACAGTGAAGCTGGGATTCTGTAGGAGGCAGCTGCAGCTGACATGGGCAAGACTTTCGAACACGTGGGCCATGAAGACATCTCTCCCATTGAAGGGTGTCCCAGGGGAGGCAGCCCAGTGTAGGCAGTTTCCCCCCCAACAGGAAGGACTTGCATTTGGTATTTCATGTATCATAAAGGCCGAAGACATTCCTAAGATGGTTAATTCATTGATTACATTTTAAGATAAAGAAATTGAGCCCTCAAAGGAAGCAGTGACACCTCAGGTTAGTAGGCACAGAAATATTTACCAGCAAAGCTGGAACCCAAACCCAAGCTTCCCAATGTACTTTCTTCACTTATATCTGCAAAGCAGTGCATTATACCAAAGCTCTCATTTGAATTTTATAACCAACCTGAAAGATGCGTAGCATATTACTTTTATTTTACAAATGCAAAATTAAAAATAAAAATAAAAGTTAAGGAGGATCAGAGAGGTAAAGTGATTTCCCCAGGATCACACAGCTTTCAAGTGGTAGAGCTGTCGATCAATCTTGGGTCTTCCTGGTCTATGTCTCTCCCAGGAACACTGCTCTTGCTGAGTCGTAGAGAGTTATGACATAACTAACTAAATCTGAAAAGTTTCCCCCCATCTCTTTGCCTCGGGTGACCTCTTTCCAACTGGAAGGTTTTCAATTTATGATTATATGTTGTTCTTTGCCCTTTAGGCAAGTTCAATTTCATTGTCCAAACGCAAAACTATTTCAGTGAACGCTGTAAAGAAAAAGAAAAAGAACGAGGAAGGGGGTTAATAAAGAACATGCTGGATCTGAAAACAATTTTAGAGGTAATGTGGGGCCCATGGAGCCTATATTCATTTTCTGATAGCTGAGAAAAAGCATTCCCCTTAACTGTTTTTTTGGTCCAGTGTGTCCTGTGCAAGATAAAAATAAAGGTTCACGTGACACTGAAGCTGTGATAAAGCCAGGGTCCGGGAGATTCGACACTAATGGCGACAGGGCATTTCTCACTCAGGGGAAATTAGCGGTGGCTGCTGGGCTTTCATCCATATCTGTATTCACTCAGAAAGTGCTCCAGGGTCTTCCAACCTTCCCCCTTCATCCTAGATAAGAGATAACACTCGAAATAAATCTGAAATGCTTTCCCTTGTCTTACAAGTTCTGCTTTAGAAGAATGCACACTGTTATTAGAGAAAAGCTGTTCTTTGTCTACTTATCCAGTCTGTGGATTTGATCACTAAACATATATCAAGCCCATGCCGTGTATGGGGCTTTGCATTGGTGTGAGGGACCCACTGGCAGGAAGGAGACTTGGGCTCTCTCAGCTCATGGAGTGGTTCTGTCTGGAGCAAAGAGAGATTTGAAGTATGTGAATGCTGTGAATGCAGATGGAAGCCCCCAAGGCCACTCATGATACCGGGAGGATCAGGTGTTCCCAGCAACACTGAGTAGGGCTTGGGGGCAGGAAGAGAAGAAGCCAGAGTCCAAGCTTGCAAGACAGTGCTAAATGTCCAATCTGAAGTTCCCAGGAGGCTGGGCGGGAATGTGGGATTGGAGTACATACAAATCCAAGGGTAGGTAGAGCTCAGTGAAGGCAGCTGGCGGGACAGGGAACTCAGCGCTCAGCCTGGGGATAGCAGGTCTGGAGCTTCCCTTTGGGTGCTCTCTGGCAATGCAACCTCTCAGGGGCTAAGGTGGTGCTACACCCTCATTCTGCCCTAGCTCCTGATGGATCAAGGGATGTGGGTGCCTGAGGCTGGTTATAAGTATCCCTGACAATCAGCCAAGTGGGGAGATGTGGTCAATGAGTTCTTTAGCCTCTTGGCTCCAGGATGGCAGGCGTGAGAAGCAGAAATCGCGCTATATTAGTTTGCTACGGCTGCCATCATGACACTACAGACTGGGCAGCTTCAACCACGAAAAATTATTTTCTCACAGTTCTGGAGGGTGGAAGTCCAAGATCAAGTTGCCTGCAGGGTTGGTTTCTCCTATGCTTTCTCTCCTCCACGTGCAGACAGACAGCCACTTTCCTGCTGCCTTTTTGCCTGGTGGCTCTGCTGTGTGCTCACCCCTGGGGGGCTCTTTGTGTGCCCATATCTCCTCTTCTCTTAGGGACACCAGTCAGAATGGATCAGGGCCCATCCTGATGGCCTCATTTTAACTTAATCTCCTCTCGAAAGGTCCTATGTCCAAATGCAGCCATGTTCTGAGGTCCTGGGGACTAAGTGAGAGTTCAACATAGGAATTTGAGAAAGACACAGTCCAGCCCATAGCAGACGCCCTCTCTTTGTCCTTTTTCTGTTGGAGAGCTGGGAAGGGACGCCAGCCCAGAACAGATTCAGTGCACTAACCACAGCTCTAGGACATTATTTTCTTTTCACTTCTTTAGCCCATTTGGCCATTCATTTAGTTCATGAAGCCCTCTTGGTGCTAGAAATACAATTTTTGAGAGCCTTGAATTGCCTAAAACATAGCTATTAAATTTCATCTTTAAAGAGATTTTAGCATAAGCCTGAAAGGTAATAATACTGATGCCTTTCCCCCCTAATTATTTATTTGTGTATCCACTTCCCTTATTAAACCAAGGGTTCCTAAAAGGCATGGGCTTTGTTTATCTTTGTAGCCTACTGCTCAGCACAGAGCTCAGACCAAGGTAGGGGCACTCATGGTGTATTTATATCTGTGAGGTTGAATTTGTTGATGTTGTCTTCAAAGCTGAATGAGTCTTTGTGCTCAGAGAGGAGGGTGCGAAAGGGATGTTTAATTGGATGCTCTGGACCCCAGTATTGTGCCCTTTCGTTCCCCTGACACTCTGGTCCCTGGGACCCTCTCTAGTGAACATACTGCCTAAAAACCCAGCCCAAATTTTCCAGCCTTTTTCCTTACTCAACATATCCAGGGATATTCCTTCCAGCATCAGGCACAGTTACATGGTACCTGTGAGCCTGAATTGCCATGTGCCCCCTACCCGGTTCCTCCAGAATCCTCCACTGTCTAGTGAGAGAAGTGGTGAGAGGGGACAGGTTGGCTGCCCAATTGTGGGGCTGGGCTGTGTCTTCACATAAGCTCAGATGGGTCTAGGGCTGCCGCCTCAAGAAGGGGGAAGCATCTTGTTGGAGCTCATTGATCATATCTTGTCACTCTTCCCATGTACTTCTTGTGCTAGGTGCTACAAACCTGCCCATTGTGTATTTTATCAGCAGCCCATGAGGAAAGAGCTATCACATGGGAAAACAGGGAGAGACTCCCCCCTACAAAGAGACACAGACAGAGAAACAAAGACAGTTTCCATGCCTGTTCTTATCCATTTGTGGGCTTTCCGAAACACTGGCCTTTGTGTAAAGGAAAACACTTCACGATACTGCTGCCAGACAGATGAAACTCAACAGATGAGAAAAATAAATTCAAAGAAAAGCAGCCCTTGTCACATTTTATGTATGCAGATAATTGAAAGAAAGTGAAAAAATAGAGCAAGCAAACTGTATGTATAATATCTTACAAGATAGAACACTGTTTTTAAGTGCATAACATTCAGAAGCCCTATCAATTACATTTTATAACAGCCAATAAGTCTGTCGCTCCTTTTATTTTCTTTCTGCTGACCACAACTGAATTAGTATTTTCTGATTAAAAGCTTTCTTCCCCAAAGTGCAAAGAGCTATCACCTACCTACACCTGTTCCACGCCCCCCTATCTTTCCTTTCTTCCTCAGTGTAGCTCTGAGCCCAGCATTGTGGTCTTTCCTTCCAAATATGGAGGGCAAGTGGCTGGGGGCCCCTCCATTTAGCCACTGATGGGGACTTCACTCCCATCTGTAATTTGCTCAGGCTTATTGTGCCAGGCAGCCTTATCTATATGCAAGGTGGAACATCTCTCATAAAAACAAGTGCCTCTTGGTATATTTTCACCATTAATAGGCTGATCTTTTTTTTTATCATTTTAAAAAAATTCTGAGACCAGTTATTTCCTGCTGCCTTATTCATTTGGTTAATGCATGCTGTTTCTGAAAAACTAAATATTAATGTAGCATGCCTTGCTGGAGCAGGTCTTTACAGGGGGAGATCTGTGAACCTGTGGATAACACATCTGCACTTCCTACCACACAGATAATAATTAGGCTTGCCCTAAGTGAATGTACATTTGGAGTTATTATTTTAGTAGGCTGAGAATCCCTCTTCTTGCTGCCTCTGGAGTTGGCTGATTCCTCTTCAGTGAGAACATCTTTATTTGGGTCTCTATATTAAGGCTGTGTTTGATGATGGTCTTGTCAACCCCATGATACAGGTAGAGGATGAAGCATTTATACAATTCTGAAAAGAAAAGCTTTAAACAAATAGCAGCAGCCCAAATTGCCAGAGGGTAGGAAGATGACTGGGGAGCTGATGACTAGCCAATGAAATGAAATGTGCTTGGTTAATATAATGCAAGGATGGCAGTGTGACAAGTAAGGCCAAACCAGGAAACACTGTCACCTGCTCACCTCTTAGCGTGGGAGCTTGTGCACCAATGCGTTCATTTTTATCACTCAATCGGGTACTTCGGAGTTGAAATGAATCTTAGAATTTGTGTCATTTTGCCTCCCAAACTCCTCAAAGGAATTCAGAGTGGAAAGAAAAACTGTCTCCAGCACATCAGTTACTATGTTTGATTGTGTTCTACTTGAATCTCTCCATTTATGGGGAGCTCAATACTTTTCAAGGCAGCCTTTCTAACTGCTAGGCAGTGCTAAGAGTTGGAAACTTACTTCTTTGTGGTTTTAGTTCAGAATCTTTTGTTGAAAGTGGTAGGGAAAATTCCTCTAATCAGTTCAGCTAAAAGGGGGAATTAATTGAGTACATAACTTTCAAGACTTCAGGTAAGATGGTGTTTAGGTGAGGCTTGATTCAGGGGTCAAAGGACATTGACAGTCTTCATCTCAGCTCTGTGGCTCCATTCTCAGGCTCTTAGTGGCCTCTGACAAAGTCAGGCTTATTTTTCCATGACACCAGACCAATGGTTGCCTCTTAATTTTGGGGATTTTCATTGTCTCATTGGCCCAAACTGGATAATAGCTCTATTCCTGAATGACTTAGTTTAGGTTCCACCCACCCACTTACCCATATAGCCTGAGAATAGGACTTGTGAGTACAGGTAGTTAAGTTGGGAGGTGAGCCCAGGGAAGAAGCTAAAGTCAATGAAGGTTATATTATGAAACTGGTTATTGCTATGGGCAAATGAGGCTCAGTCCTACTGGGGACCCTCATAAATTGTGCACTCCACTGATACTCTATCTTCTGTCTCCATTGGTTCAGGATGGTCTTTGGAGGCACTTGCTCTCCTCCACCTCCCAGATCTGGGCTGCCCTGAATGGAATGAGCTGGGCTTAGTGGGGTGGGCCTTAGATAATGACCTGAGGCAGAGAACTAGAGAGATGTGGCAGGCACTTGAGATGTGATGCTTCCAGGGTCCTAGGAACTGGGTACCCCAGCCCAGCAGAAATCTCAGGTGATTGCCATCACCAAGCAGGGACTGCGATCTGAGCATGGATTGAGCTCATTGGCTGAACTTCCACCATGGGCTACATCCTCAAAGGCAGGTATGGAAACTGCTGTAACTACATGTAATGAGACTGGAGGAAGACAGCTCCCAAGAATAAAATCAGGGTGTTATTACCAGAAAAAGAAAGAATGCATGCTGGAGACTGATGTCAAGCATTTGCTATACCACTGTTGAGCCCCAAATGTGCTTTCTGATAACTCCCACCCATTATCTGGAATGTTACCTTGGAACAGAATATAGAATTAACAGTGTGTTTCCACTCTATTTGACAGCCTTTAAAATATCAGGAGATAATTAGCTTGTCTACCCTTGGAGTTCTTTTCTTTCATCTAGTATGGACAAACTTGGATTCTTTAATTGTTTTTTGTATGACGTGGTTTCTAGGACTTTTTATGGTGGCCCTCATCACCGCTTCATCCAACACCCCCTTCATTTTGTTTCTTTACCTCCTGTTCCCTCAACAGGAAGGGTGGAGTTGGGTCCATCATAGCAAGAATGGATGTGTAGAAGGATGACCCGGGGGTCAAGAAATTGTGGGTATCCTGTGACATGTGACTTGAAGATGATGTTACTATATTTTGGCTATTATTTTCTGAAAATAGGGGATCTATGTGTAACTCTCACTTATCCAGTAAATAATTTTCTCCTATATTATCTAATAATGGCTAACTCCTGACTGTTATCAAGGCTTTGTTGCTATGTTGACCCATTTTGTAAAATATTCCTCAGTGGACAAATGTTGGCTTGGCCTGCCTGCTATCTCTTTCCCTTCTGGTAACAGAATCCTGAATGACCTCTGTGGAATCAGCCCCACTTCCATGCTGAGTGGGTGAGGTTTGCATAGACTCGTGGTGAAGTAAGCGACCTGTTCTTGGCCCACTGGAGTCTTCATGCCCTTCTCCCAGGGGTTTGTGGGATGTTGAGCTTGTGACTCCGTCTTGGCTAATTGTCATCATCCTACCAAGGGCCACAATGATCAGTTTGTGGTGGACACATGACCCACAGCAGTTTAGTTACAGAATGCCGGTTGAAATGTAGGCCTGGGGATGCTGGAGGCATTTGCTACGATGTGGAGCCTGAGGAGGAAGCCACGAGGAGATGCATGAGGTGGCCAGAAGCCAGTGGAATCACATCCTTTTGGCCTCTGAGTTCTGTGTGACTGAAGAGTCTTGAGTGCACATTTCATGGGAGACAAAGGAGCTCTGATTTCTGCTTCTATTACAAAATGAATCCCGGCTAACACATTCACTACATTAAGTCATTTAATAGATTGTATCAAATAGTGGGGAAATAAGTAGATTCAAGCCAGAAGCTCTAGGATATAGCCTGATGCCACCACCGAAGGACATGGTCTGAGCCAATCTCCTCATCTGTGTGCCTGGGGCTCTGCTTTCAAGATCAAGCCTGCGTAATAGAAAATAGTAAAATGATGGACATGTGAGTATCATTTTCTCTCTTTATTAAGCTATGTAGTTTTAAAAAAATCATCCAATAGGTCAGGTGGTCAGAACAGAAGCTCCATGAAGACATGGCCTAAAAGAATCCTCCCCAGATGTTGGGACAATTGCAGATATTCATAGAACATTTACTGTATGCCAAGAAATCTACGAGGTATTTTTACCTCATTTTATCTTGAACCAGATACTACTGTTATTCTCAAATCACATGTGGCAATCTGAAACTCAGAAAGATTAAATGATTTTCCTAAGTTCATGTGGCCGGTTCACAAGGGCATTTGGCTTTGTACCTGACAGGCTGACTCCAGAGCAGGTGCCCTGGGCCATTATTCTAGACCAAAATTTTGTCTTAGCAAAGGATCATTCTCTTAGTAACAATAGAAAACTGTGTTTTTTCTGCTTGATGTGCCCAAATGCCATTAAGCTGCTGAATAAAGGTGCGTATTCATGAGTTTGTTTTCAAAACAAAACATAACAAAAAGACATGAACAGTATATTCTTCTCTGAATGATCCACCTTGAAATTTCTGGTTTCTAGGCCTTTGTTTTTGTGGTGCTTTTGGAACACATTGGCCTTCATCTCCTACCCACTTTTCTCTGCTTGTTATTAATCGTATATAAACAACTTGACAGCAATAAAAAGGGGAAATTGAAAGACAGAAAAATTGCCCATAGTTCTACCCATTCTTTAAATCTCAGATTAAATGCCACCTTTCTCAATAAATTGTCCCTGGAGTGTCCTGCTTCCCACGTGCACACATTCATATGTGCTCGTACACACACACACACACGCACACACACACACAGACACACACAGTGCGTGCCTTATTAGGTAGTATTATTTTTTCTTTCCTTCACTAAATTGCAAGGCTACACCCATGCTTGTTTCTTCTATGCTTCCACAACACTCTGAGAGGAGGCCTTGCCCACATTACCTGCTCAGTAATTATTTGTGGAATTATAAGTCACATATAGTAAAATTTTATGTTCCTCTCCAAGGGACAGTGAGTAATTACACAGATTTAAAGTCAGCTGAATAGCTGGTATCTGGCTCTTAGTCTTGGCAAGGCTCTGAATAGTTCTTTAAAGTTGACATTCTTCCTGGACTTGCAGTCTGATTGCATGAGGCTCTCCAGGGAATAAAAATTAGTATGCTGTCAGAAATGTTTATGAAAACAGCCAAATTTAGATGATCAAAGAGTTTGGTAATCCAGGGGCCCTTGAGTTTGAAAGCTGTGATATCTTTTACAGGCATGTTGAACAGCAAAGATTTTTCTTCAGAAATTCCCCTTCAGAGGCATTTCATTGGAAACTTTTAATTTCTCATGAATTGACAGAATGAAGCAAAGTCTTTTTTTAAGTAGACCATTTGAGCATTGTGTTGCCCTTTGTTCATTGGCTGCACCCTAACTTTTGAGGAGTGTGCTGCTTTTGACCAAACTGAAATGACTTCTAAAAGATGAGACGGGTCTGTAGTTTACGTTTAACATGTGGACTAATTTGCCACCTTGAATCAAAAGGGAGGCTGCTCAAAAGATTCCAAAATGAGGCATCCTCTATATTTTGCTAAAATTTGAGGAGTGGGATAAAGTCACAGAGAGCGGAAACTTGCTCTAAGTAATGCTTTCCAATGGGAAAGCCCCTAATGTAAATACAGTTCAAGCCATGTGGGAATTTGTTTCTGTTACTGATTCCTGAGCAGCAACTTGCTTTGGGTGTCTTTGCAGGATGGGGGTGGGGTGGGGACAGGAGGCCCTGAGGGGGAGGAAGGTCTTTGCATAGCCTATTGAGGCCTTCAAGAACAAAGAACACTCTTACACTGCTGGTGGGACTGCAAACTAGTTCAACCTCTGTGGAAAGCAATATGGAGATACCTTAAAGCGATACAAGTGAATCTACCATTTGATCCAGCAATCCCATTGCTAGGCATCTACCCAAATGATCCAATGACACTCTACAAAAAAGACACCTGCACTCGAATGTTTATAGCAGCACAATTCATAATTGCAAGGCTGTGGAAACAGCCCAAGTGCCCATCAATCCAAGAATGGATTAATAAAATGTGGTATATGTATACCATGGAGTACTATTCAGCTCTAAGAAACAATGGTGATATAGCACATCTTATATTTTCCTGGTTAGAGCTGGAACCCATACTACTAAGTGAAGTATCCCAAGAATGGAGAAACAAGCACCAGATATATTCTCCAGCAAACTGGTATTAACTGAGTAGCACCTAAGTGGACACATAGGTACTACAGTAATAGGGTATTGGGCAGGTGGGAGGGGGGAGGGGGGCGGGTATATACATACATAATGAGTGAGATGTGCACCATCTGGGGGATGGTCATGATGGAGACTCAGACTTTTGGGGGGAGGGGGGGAAATGGGCATTTATTAAAACCTTAAAATCTGTACCCCCATAATATGCCGAAATAATAATAAAAAAAAAAAGAACAAAGAGGAGCACATTGTGTTGGGGAGGTGAAACAGGTGGCAGGAGGTCACCTGGCAGGACACTGAATCTCCCTCCTTGGTGGTCAGTAATATGGAGTTATTGGGAGCCCCAGCCTCAGCTGGACACCAAGAATTCTCTTCTGGCTCACCCCTTCTCCCTGTGACTTTGGGAAAACTATTTAGCCTCACCAAGCCTCAGATGCCACACCTGTAAGGTAGTGTCAATTGGAAAATCATGAAGTTCATAAATTCAGAGAAGAGAGTTTTATTTCTTATAAAGGGTTGCAGTCTGAAGGCAGGCCATCCTGCAGGCTGGAAAGTGGAACCTCTGTAGCCTCTAGGAGAAACTGGAAGCAGGTACTTCTAGGGAAGGAAGGGTGAGCCAAGGATTTATGCTGAATGGGTTGGCTAAGGATACATATTCAATAGGTTGTAGGAGGAATCATGAATATTCATGAAGGAGGGACTTACACATGCATAGTAAGCAAATGTGTGTATGTGTTATGTACAGCCCATGTTCACTTTGGGGTGGAGACTTAACACTTAAATGCATTAAAATTAGGCTCTGTAAGTTATAAGGTGAAACAGAGGACACAGAGGCATCTTGTGTACAGCCCCTGTAAACCAGCCAGAACCCATCCATGGTTCATTGGTCTCTTGTCAGGAAGGAATTGTGGTCAGTTGTTGTGAAAATCAGCAGTGGACAAGAATTTCAAAAGGGCTGGTTTCTGTTTAAGTTTTAGGAAAGAAAGCCTAATGGTGGTTAGCAAGAGAGGGGGTGTAAAATGCCCAACCTCCTGTGCCATTATGCCAGGTTTCTCTGAGGTCCCCTTGGCCAACAGGGAGTCTGATCAGTTGGTTGGGAGGTTTAGGATTTTATTTTATTTCTCAGTAGGAGTGCTGATAGTACCCACCTCACAGATTGCCCAGGGAACTGAGATGCTGCTCAGAAAGCTTGTAAAGTGCTTGACCCAGAGCCTGGCATGTTTGTATTATTAAACTATTACAAAGCCTCTGCGAGAAAATGTGAGTGGGACACTTTGCTGAAATATAGTGAATCCCTGACAAAAATCCTCCTTAATCATGTGAATAAGACAGAAAGCAGCAGAAAGGCATTCCGTAAATACCAGAGAGCTTCCTCACAGAGGTGACTTAGGGCCCAGGTGGAAGACAGCTGGTGGGGGGGTGGCAGAGAGTCCTGCCTTTTGGCTCAACTTTATAAGATTAGGTTGTTTGTAAACAGAATGCTCCAAATTGCAACTCTTTGCCAATCCCTTGTCCAAGTGGGAAGAGGCTATAATGAGCCACAACATTAGTAATTCATGAATGAGCCCTGCTGGGGAGCTAGAGGACTAGGCCTGAGTGATGAAGGCTACCAGACTAATGTGTGGCTGGGGTTTTGGGGCCGAGACCAGCAGTCACTAAAGGCCACCCAAAGTCCAGGGAGATAAAGATCCTGCCACCCAGGCCAGTGTTTTCTTTGGAGTTGTGAAGTTTCCTTTGAAGCTCAGGAAGGATTTCTCCTCTCCGTCTTCCGAGGCAGGAGCTAACTTGCCCTGGGTTTGCCCAGCAAGTGAGGAAGGTAAGGGAAGTTGGCAGGAAGAGAAAGGGAACATTTTGTTAAAGAGCTATCTCCTCCACAGCTCAAGAAAGTTTTCCAAATTCACCCCAGCCCTTAGGAATTTGATTGTGTGGGATCATTCATACCAGAAGAAATGGTTAAAGTAGGTCTGACCCAAGGATTCCCCTCTGGTCTGCAAAGCAGCCAGGACCAATACTACTGAAATCTAGATTGTAAGTTTCTGTAAGAGGCAAGGTGCCACCAGGGTGCATGAGCCACCTGGGCAGCTCAGCTTCACTGAAAGGCTCTTCGCAGTGTGGGTTAACCAGCTACCAACCAGAACCGGAGGTTTCTGGCTGGCTGGGCCCTCACAAAGTTCCTTTAGGGCTTAAGCACATGGGCTTTGAACCCACACTGCTTAGGCTCAAATCCTATTGCTACCGTCTCCCAGCTGGGTGTCCTTGAGCAAGTTGCTTAATCTCTCTGTGGCTTGGTTGCCTCATCTGCAAAATGAGAATAGTAATAACACTCATTTCAGAGGACTGCAGTGAAGATCGAGCCTGTTCAGATGTGTCAAATGCTGACAACGATATCTGGATATCTGGCAGAGACTAAGCCAGTGACTCATGTGTGAACCATTTTCATCATTACTTCTCTGGGCAGCCTGTTCTACCTTTGATCAGGCCTGCATGTTACGAAATTCTTCAAGGGGCTTGGGTGAACATATCTGAGCTGCACCACGTAATGGATAAGTAATTTTGTGCAAGAGAGTTACTCTTTTAAAGCTTTGGTTTCCCATCTGTGAAATGGGGATAATAGTAGTATAAGTTTTGCAAGATTGTTGGAAAGATTAAATGAGATGTACAATGCTAGCCTTAAATAAATATCACTGTGTGTGTGTGTGTGTGTGTGTGTGTGTGTGTGTACATATATCCTATATGTTAAGATACCCTCGGTTGCAAG